TGTGAAAATATAGCAGAAGTAGCACCAACATTCAAAAACAATGGACTTGTGATAAAGCTCCTGAAATAATCACGTCTTCACTTTAAGTTTTCATTTAGTGACGAGTGAATTTTTGCTAGAAAACGAGCAGGAGAAATAACATGCAAGTGTCTCAAAGCCGGCAAAAGCTGTTGAATTCACACACCACTGTGTGATGTAATACAAAAACTTGAAGCAGAAGATGCTACCCTCCCCTCATTCCCTGCATTATTGGGCATTTTTTCAGCATGACAATGAAGATATTCATTCTCCCAAGGTGAAAATCCTTCAGTGAACATGTATTTCACTCAATCTTAACACTCTTGAGCTGCTGTGAGAGATTCTGTAATTCTGTTGTTTTTATTAAGTATATGTTTACTATGTTTCAATTTTGCCATCTTTCCATGAATTATATTAATTATATTAGTGATCATTAAGAAAATACATCTTTTATATTTATTCCGAGGGGGTGTACTCATTTATGCTGTGCACTGTATCTATCTGGCAGTCAGGCAGTCAGTCAGTCAGTCAGTCAGTCAGTCAGTCAGTCAGTCAGTCTGTCTGTGTCTCTGTCTGTGTCTCTGTCTGTCTGTCTTTGTGTCTGTTTCTCTTTTTACTATGTACATATCCTGCTTTTTCACAATTTTTTAATCCTCATTTTAAGTGCCCTATATGCAAAGCTTCTCATGAAAGTAAGGCATGCACACTACTGTTCAAAATCTTTAAACATTTTAAAAAAGTAAAAGAAAACTTTTAGGATTTTTTTTTTATTTTTTAGATTTTTTTATTATGATTCTTTCTATATATATTTTAATGTAAAATGTTTTAATGTAGACTAAAGTTCAAAATGTTGAGGTCAGTACAATTTTTTTTCTTTTATTCAGCAAGGACGCATTAAATTGATCAAAAGTGACAGTAAATACATTTACAATGTGACAAATGTTTTCTGTTTTCAACACTTCTAATAAGAAATGTGTCTTGAGCAGTAAATCAACATATTAGACTGATTTTTGAAGGATCATGTGACACTGAAGACTGGAGTAATGATGCTGAAAATTACACAATTTTTAATTATACTTTTTGGAAAAAAATTTAATTTTATGGTATTTATAAATAATAAATTACATCTTAAAGTATATTAAGATAGAAAATGGGTTTTTTAAATTGTATTAATATTTTAGGATATTACTGTTTTTACTGTATTTGATCAAATAAATGCAGCCTTGGTGAACAAAAACTTTAAATCTTACTGACCCCAGACTTCTGTACAGTAATGCAGATACAAATCTGAATGTCATCATGCGTCTCGTGTGAATCACCTCTGTTCTTGTCTCTTTCAGTTCTCAGATAGACATCAGGGCAATCACACATTTCTTCCCGTCTATCTTGTCCATCTCGTCTGTGTTTGCATGCATGTATTAATATGCGCTCCGATCTCCATTCACTTGTGTAACCTGCCTGCCCAGTCTGCAACATTTTATTTATGGATCATGGCACAGGAGGGAGTGCATTATGTCACTCTTTAGTATTAAATAAAGCTTGAAGTTGTCATGCAGGTTACAAAGTGTTGTGTTTATGTTCATATTATAGTCTTTTTTTGTTGTTGTTGAAGGTTTGGCAATGATGTACAGCACTTCAAAGTGCTGCGTGATGGGGCTGGAAAGTACTTCCTGTGGGTCGTGAAGTTTAACTCTCTCAACGAGCTGGTGGACTATCACCGCACCACTTCCGTTTCCCGAAACCAACAGATCTTTCTACGAGACATCGAGCAGGTGCCTCAGGTCTGTATGCTTGTTTCTACCTTTTTAATCCATAAAGTTTATGTGGATCACCATTAGCAACCCTTGTACTTCTGTAATGTGACACATTTCCTAGTGAAACAGGATATTTAGCCTAAGGGACATCCACAGAAAAGGAAAGTAGATTCACGGGAAGAGCAAGATACTACATTTTGATTTTCCTTTGGAATAACCTGCACTAGAATAGTTGTTTGCAATAACTAGGGGGGAAAAAATGAAGACGAAGAAAATATTTTTATTTATACATTTTTAAATCAATAAATCAGTAAATTAATTTATAATAGCAAGTTTAATATTTAAGTTTAATATTTATTATTTAAAAAAAACTGAAACCTGTTAAAATGCCAAACAGGAGCTTCTGTCAACATTTTGAAGTGATCAGATGAATAAACTGTTCAGTCATTGTTCATTCGTTTAGAATAATCCCGAACTGATTCGTGAAAATTCATCCAACATCCTACTCAAAATTTACTCGCTCTCTCTCTCTATAGATTTTTGATTACATGTTAAAGTGGGCCTTAAAATCGCCTTTATTCATGGTGTTTGTTAAAATATCAGATGTACTGTAAATATCCCATACGTTCACTATATATATATATATATATAACCATTCAAATGTTTGGAGTCAGAAAGATTTTTTTAAAGGAAATGAATACTTACATTCAGCAAGGATGCATTAAATCGATCAAAAGTGACAGTAAAGACATTTATTTTGTTACAGTTATTTTTTTTTTCCAATAAATGCCGTTTCTATTCATCAAAGAATCCTTAAAAAAAAATGCATCATGGTGCACAGCTGTTTTCAACATTAATAATAATACATTTTTCCTGAGCATCAAATCAGCATATGAGAATGATTTCTGAGTAATGATGCTGAAAATTCAGCTTTGCATCACAGGAATAAATTACATGTTAAGATATTGTTTTTAGGGATGCACCGAAATGAAAATTCTTGGCCGAAACCGAACAAAATGAAACACTGGGCCGAACACGGTTTTTCGAGTTTTTTTCCTCCATGTATTTTGCCAATTTTTTTCACCATTGCATAAATTAAATAGCCAAAATGTGCTTTTTACTATTTTGTCTTGCTTTTCAAAGAAAAAATCAATTACAAAACAATAATTTAAAAATATTTAACACTGAACATTTTTTAACATTCTAGCAGAAACTATACCAACAAAGCACAATTTAACTTAAAATTAATAAGTTAATAAATAATATTTTTTGGCCATCAGACCCCCTTCTTAAATCAGGCATGTATTTTTTGTAAATGAAAGCAGCATTGCTGAGCAGAAGAAACTTCTTTTAAAACATTAGAAAATATTACAGATCCCAATATGAACACTGTGTGAATGTTATAATGTATTAATAGAGCTGTTGTAATTATTATTATCATTATTATTGTCTAACTTTTTATTTTATTTTACAGAACAACAGTAAAATTACATACTAACATTTACGAATGTTGATGGAGTTCTTGCTTTTTCTCAACTTTTATTTTGATGGAAACGCGCAGGAAGACCTTAGTGCTTCTTTTTGTTGACAACAGCAGATTTATAAATGAGTCTCATTACGAATTTGGGAAGATGTTTGTCGCACGTATCACAATGTCACATGCCTTGTAACAAAAATTCACAAAAATGTTACTGAGCAACTGACGAGTAACAGTTTCAGCGCAGATTTTCCTCGCGCTTTGGACTTCGAACCCTGGTGCCGCGAGCTCGTGCAGCACTGTCAGAATACATGCAATTCGTGCGTGCATTAGAAAATATAACAATCTGCAGTTTTCTGCGGGAGCGGGCGGGCGCGGGACAGAATCTTGCGGGAGCGGGACTGAAAAATCCGTCCCACACAGGTCTCTACTTTGAACCCTGGTTAACAAACAGACAGTTCGTGCAGCGCTGTCAGAATTAGAGCCCGACCGATATATAGTTTTGCCGATATTATCGGACGATATGAGCTTGTCGCCGATATATCGGTATCGGCGAATATGCCGCCGATATTAACATTTTTTTTACAGAACATATAATGCAGATAAAATGCTTGAAATGGTGTAATTACTTAGTTTGTCCAGCAGAGCGCGCTCCATTGTTTGCTACTGGCGACCTGGATGAAACACTTTTGAAGCTTAAGTTAATGGAAAACCATTGAAACTTTGAACGGACATATCTCCATAATGGCACGGCGAATCCGCACCAAATTCGGGGGATCCCTTCAGCTCGAGGAACCCTCTCGAACGCGAATCGAGTGTACGTCTAGAGGCCCGCTTTCGAATGAGAAGTTTATTGTTAAATTGTTAAATGCCCTTACATATCTCTGTCACTATTATAAGTGTTTGATCACCACATCTGAGTGATCATTGCAAAAAATGTGTTTATGTATATATATTCTGTTTATGTATATACTGTATTCTATATATAGTACCAGTCAAATGTGTGGACACACGAATGGGAAAGTGTCCAAACTTTTGACTGGTACTGTACTATAATATACACAAAGAATATCGGCCGGTATATCGATATCGGCCTTTTTTTACTCCCTAATATCGGTATCGGTATCGGCCCCAAAAAACCCATATCGGTCGGGCTCTAGTCAGAATACCTGCAATGCATGCGTGTATTAGAAAACATAACGTTCTGCAGTTTATTTAATAACTGTTTAAGGCCATTTCGCGATTTCAATCATCATACAGTAACCAGCAACAATCACCCTGCCTCTTTCTCAGACAGTTTTAAATGCTTCCACACTGCTGACATGTGTGCTGTGTTATAAAGAGTGCACGCCTCTCACTCTGCGCTGGTTGCTATTTGATCGCGTCACATCATTGTACGGTACAATTTATTCGGTCTTTTCGCTTATTCGGCTGAACACCAAAAGAGATTTTTTTTTTTGCTATTTTCGGCCGAATAATTTCGGTTGCCGAACATTCGGTGCATCCCTAATTGTTTTAAATTGAAATAATATTTCACAATATTACTGTTTTTACTGTATTTTTAATCAAAGAAATGTAGCCTTGGTGAAAATAAGAGATTTCTTAAAAAAAAAAAAAAATCATTGGGTTATTTACACGTGTCTATTGTGTACCTGCAGCATCCAACATACGTGCAGGCCCTGTTCGACTTCGACCCTCAGGAGGACGGAGAGCTTGGCTTCAGACGCGGAGACTTCATTCAGGTCCTGGACAACTCTGACCCCAACTGGTGGAAGGGCGCCTGTCACAGCCAGACGGGCATGTTCCCACGCAACTATGTCACGCCTGTCAATCGGAACATGTAAAGAAAAACCAAGCGATTAGTGAATAAATTGTAATTAACGGCCCCTCACATTCACATACAATCAGACTACCCTACATCTCCCCATCAACACCCTTAAACTCCTGTGAGAATTAAAGCGGCACAGAGGAATGGAAACCGTGACCGAAAACAAGGAGAGAAAAAAAAACGTAGCGGAGAGGCTGGAGGTTTCCACCTCTGCCGTGGTGCCCGGGCGAAACTATTATTCCTGAGAATCGCGATGTCTTCATGAACGCTTGCAGTCCAGACTGAGCTGTTAGGGCGAAGGAAAGGCTGAATCCTAGCATAGTAAACCACACATAAATTAAAACAACAATGATTCTGTCTGTAGATTCATCCTGCTGCTTCTGGCTTCTTTTCTAGCAATTAGAATTGTTTTTGTTACATTTTTGTTTTGTTTTGTTCTTTTTGTTTTGGCTGCATGTTTAAATCTCTTTATAATAGTAAATCCTGACGCTGTTTTTAAAAAGGAAAAAAATATATATAAAAATGTAAGCGTAAGAAATTGCAAACGCATTGTACATCTGGGCTGTGGAAAAAAAAAACACCTATAGAGAGAATCCATTTTTTTAAGAATATATATATTATATATTTGTATGTGTCTGTCTGTTTTAGCTTTCGACACTTTTTTTGTTCCAATTGTAAATTGTTAATTTTTTGGTGAGGGTGGATGAAACGGAGTAGCTCTGAGACATGCTAATTTTATGAGCATCTCAGACATAACGCCGTAGTGTTTAACACATCATGTGTTCCTTTTGACATCATTCTTACTTTGTTTTAGAACCAATAGGTGAGTGGATCCTTGGCGATAGCAATTTATCACCGGGGAGCTTCCAGTCATGCAGGAGTTGATCTAATGTGAAAAGCCAGATGGCTAGCCACCATTTTAAGCCAATGTATTTATTGCAGCCACTTTTTATTTGTCTTTGGATGTGAATGTAGCCAACATCACTCAGATGGACAGCTGAACGACAGTTTCATGATTTCAAAGACGCGCATCTGTTCACGAAACGAAACGATTTAAAATCACGAGATTTGGTGTTGAAAAACTGGTGGATGCCAGTTAAGCCAGTAAGAAGTAAGAAACCAGAGTTTTCGTATATTTGAGTTGTCACATCGACTAATTTGATGCGTTCCGTTTGTTTTCTCTTAGCTCTTTTGTCTTTTCAGTGTTGTATGTTTTAGCTCTTATGGATTTTGTTTGCTCCTCGTGTATTATTGACCCGCTCGGCCTCCTCTGTTTTTTTGTTCTCTCTGGATTAGTGCCTTTTTCTCTGGTGTGTGACAGTGTCTCGGGCTTGCTGCTTTAGCCTGAGCATTGGGCTTCATCAGACCCGCAGTGAGAAATCATGTCTTCTCTCTCCTCCTGAACACACCTGCACACAGTCACTCCTATTTAAAAGTCTCGCCTTTTTCGTAACCTTTTGTTATTTTATTTTTATTTTTTTGCCTTTTTCCTTGTTTCTTTTGAATAAATAAAAAGAAAATTATAAAAAGAAAACACGTCTGTGTCAGATAATTCATACTGTGTGAATGTGGTTTTTCTTTTATGGTCACTTTTTTGCCAATGCAGGTTTTGGAGTGAAACACTTACTGTTGCTCTAAATGTGTTTGCGCACTTAAGTCACACTTAAAATTTGTCTGAATGTGTACTGGATGCAAAACACCAAAGCAAGTGTCATTTTTACACAGAAAAGGGTGATTTTTTTTTTCTTTCAGTAAAATCATATTGACACTAATATTGTTTACGTCTTATGTTTTCAAACAGTGAGTTTTTGTTTGTTTGTTTATGGATTGGCCTTATTCATTTCAAGGAATAATTGCCCAAAAAAATAAAAAATTGCTGAAAATTTACTCACTCTCAGGCCATCCAGGATGAAGATGAATTTGTTTCTTCATCGGAACAGATTTGGAGAAATGCCAAAAATGAAAATTTGCTGAAAAAGTGCTCACCCTAAGGCCATTCAAGATGTAGATGTGCTTGTTTCTTTATCGGAACAGATTTAGAGAAACTTAGCATTACTTAACTTGCTCACCAATGGATCCTTTGCAGTGAATGGGTGCCGTCAGAATGAGAGTTTAAAAAGCTGATAAAAACATCACAGTAATCCACACCACTCCAGTCCATCAATTAACGTCTTGTGAAGTGAAAATCTGAAACAAAACCATCAAGGCATTTTATTTTTTTTTTTTCAAACTGTTGCTTCTGGGCTGGCTAAAATATGAACAAACAAATATGTATGATTTTGAGGTGAGAGGACAACAGGGGATGACTTTTACACTGGAGGAAGTGTTTCAAACTCTTATTTTGACCAGAAGCGATGGTTTAAAGTTAAAAATGCTATAATAATGGATTTGTTTCTTACAAACACACAGCTTCTACTTTCACAAGATATTAATTGATGGACTGGACTGGAGTGGTGTGGATTATTGTTATGTTTTTATCAGCTGTTTGGACTCTCATTCTGACGGCACCCATTCACTGCAGAGGATCCATTGGTGAGCAAGTGATGTAATGCTACATTTCTCCAAATCTGTTTTAATGAAGAAAAACTCATCTACATCTTGGACGGCCTGAGGGTGAGCAAATGTTCATTTTTGGGTGAACTATCCCTTTAAATTTGCAAGTGTGTCACTGTAATACAGAGGGACAGGTGGGAAATATTTTTGTGTAAGTCAACATTATGCCACCAGTGCCGCCAATTATATTGAATCTAGAATAATCTTAAAGGGGTCATCCGATGCTACATGCACTTTTACAAGTTGTTTGAACTGAAATGTGTGTTGGCAGTGTGTTGGCAACCATCCTATAATGATAAAAATCCACCCAGTGGTCTTTTTTAATCTACTAAAATCTTTACCCCTTTCTCAAATCGAGCCGATCTCCGATGCCTGTCTGTGTGACATCACACAGACAGGCCCCTCCCACAATAGTTGATTGACAGTAGTGTTTCAGCACAGACTGGACTGGTGTCTTACCTTAGCTCCGCCCTGAGTGAGCTGTCATCAGTCCACCATTGTTTCACCGCCGGAGCAGATGTAAACAAGAATGACTCCTAAGCGATTGAGGTGTTTTGTTGTTGGATGTAATAATGAACATAGCAGTCGTCATTTACTCCTGACATCTGAGCCGCTGAAGACGCAGTGGATTACGTTTGTTTCTGAAGGGAATGCGCCCCTGATCTACATAAATGCGTTTATGTTCGTGATCCAGCTTCACCTACAGAAGAAGTGAGTGTAAGGTTTTTTAATATATCTTTGCAAATCTTCTTTCCTAATAATGTGCTAATTAGCAAGTTTCACGATGAATGCAGCTAAAGTAAACAGTTCCTCAGAGAGAGGCTTGGAAGAGAGGGGCGGGGTCAGCAGAGCTCATTAACATTTAAAGAAAAATGCTACAAAATGGCTTGCTCTGAAAAGAACTGATTTTGACGGTAAAAAAAACACTAGGCCTACCATTGTGAAATTTTAACCAAACTATGTTACAGATTTTCAATCAAGACCCTAAAGAATCATATCAACTTGTGGAAAATGGGCATCCGATGCATAGAAACTTCCAGTCAGGTGTGTTGAGGCAAGTTGGAGCTAAACTCTGCAGGACACCGGCCCTCCAGGACCGAGTTTGGACAGCCCTGTCCTAAAGAATCATATCAACTTGTGGAAAATGGGCATCGGATGACCCCTTTAAAGAACATGATACAGTAATATTTGACAACCACAAAGTGCCACAATACTATTTTGCCTTCATTTTCAACAGTATATTGAGCGTTTTATCTTTTAAAACCTTGTTTGTGAAATGGCTTGCTTTTCTCCGTGCAAGTGTTTTAAATGTGATTTGTGCCAAAGTACTCTTTGAAGCTATTGTATGAAAACTGACAAGAAAACATTAGAAATCACACTTAATCAATAAACAATCTAGGCTGCATAATTTTAAATAAGGCCATTATTGTGCTTCGGAACAAAAATGACAACCTATTGCATTGACATTGTACTTAAAGTCTTTAAAATGGACCGGCACATAAGACAACTTTAAAGAAAATAATAATAATGTATTATTTTCTTTCATATCTAAATCCGTATTACGTGAAGTAGCTAAGGCTTTAAAACTGTTAAAGCAGATGCACGTATTTAGATGCCTCAAGTTTAAAGCAACTGTAGATACATTTTTTACCTCAAAATGTTTCAAAATCGTTCTGATGGTACACTAACAATAAGGCGAGTGGCTTCTGTTTCTTTTCATAACGGCGGCGGCTTGCTTTACGGCAGCGATAAATACACGCATACAGCTATCCACTGTGAAAAATATACAAAAAATTTACAAAACTACCTACAGTAGTACAAGCACTGACATTTTCCAGTGCACAGTGAACCGATCAGACAGTCCCCATCATGTTCAGAAGCACTTGAACTTATGAAGACCTGTTCACCGAAGCACTTCTCCAGCTCTTGGCCATAATGAAAGGTCATTGTGGCTGTATAATTGCATGCTTTCTTCGCAAACCCCCCCCTTTTTACTTATTTCGCTTTCTAAAAGGAATTTAAACAGTTCCTTACAATGAAAAACCTACACTACCGTTGAAACGTTTGGGTTTAAAATTTTTATTTGGAAGATGGTCTCTTGTGCTCACAAAGGCTGCATTTACTTGATCAAAATACAGTAAAAACTAATATCGTGAAATATTATTATGATTCTTTGATGAATAGAAAGTTCAAAAGAACAGTATTTATTTGAAATAGAAATCTTTTGTAACATTGTCAATATTTTACTGTCACTTTTGAACAGTTTAATGTGTCCTTGCTGAATAAATGTATTAATTTCTTTCAAAAATAAATAAATAAAATAAATAAATCTTACTGACCCCAAACTTTTGAATGGTCATATAAATAACTATTAACCACACAATTTCTGCCAACCTTTTCTTGGCTGCATGACCTTAAAATTTCCCAACTCAGTCTGAACCTGTCCAGATCTATTACATAATGGTTAGCAACCGGTCCTGCATGCCAGTGATGGGGTCACCTGTCTCCTTCCTCCTGATAGCATGGGCTCTTGTGTGGAGGACACACCCACATGTTAGGGTCACACCAGGTGATCAGCGCATGCTGCAGTATCTTGGAAGGCAAAGTGTTCCATTTCCGAATTGTGTGATATCATGGGGTGAGACAAAGTAAACCATGTTGACTTTTCACTCGCACCCTGTGCAAATGTGCTCCAAAATGGAAACACTGATCTCTGGAACATTGACTTTCCGTATCATATACATTTATCTTACAGGTCAACTTGCTGTTCCTTTTGTTTGGCCACATCTCTTTCCTATCAAAACGGTTGGATGGAAAAAAGATGATATCTTTGGTGTTAACAAAAGAAAAACGAGCAATTTAGTCAACCTCATGTCGTTTCAACCTGTACAACATTTATTATATAGGCCTGGACAAAAAGATGCCGTGAAAGTCTGGCGTTCTGTCTTTACATCTTTTATATTCCACAGAAGAAAGAAAGAAATGCAGGTTTGGAATGACATGAGGGTGTGTAAATGATACCTATTTTTTTTTCTTGGACAGTTTTGAATAAATTTAGATATAAACATTGAACCCCAAAATATGAACTATGATCTTAAAGGGGTCATATGATGCGATTTCAATTTTTCTTTTCTCTTTGGAGTGTTACAAGCTCTTGGTGCATAAAGAAGATCTGTAAAGTTGCAAAGACTAAAGTCTCAAATCCAAAGAGATATTCTTTATAAAGTTAAGACTTGTCCACGCCCTGCCAATGATGATTCAAACATGAGTTTTGAGCAGTGTAGAGTAGCGCTTATTGTTTGTCGTTTCTCCAGACATGGTTTTATGTTTACGCAGCGCGATACGCAACGCAACGCGTATAAGTATAATAACACAGTATAAGTCATTATAATCAGTAATTATGTCCCCACTGGATGCAACAAATGCCTGTTTGTAATGAGTTTTATTGGTTTTGTCTTGCAGTGCCGGGAGAAGGCATCACAATATGGTAAGGGGCGTAACATTTCCGTCACACGCTTGAGGTATTCGGCCAATCACAACGCACTGGATAGCTGGCCAATCACAGCACACCTCGCTTTTCAGACCGATGAGCTTTGTAAAAATCAACCCGTTTCAGAAAGGCGGGCATAGAGGAGAAACAATAATGTACAGTATGTGGAAAATAATGTGTTTTTTAAATCTTAAACCGCATAAACACATTTCATTACACCAAATACACAACATAATGTTCTTTTTAGCATCGTCATATGACCCCTTTAGAGTTCCACTGTTTTATTCGCAGTAAAATGACACGAAGGCGCCACCTGCTGGCAACTGAAATGATATATTTTACTTTATTTACTACCAGCTACAAATGTCAAATCTGTTGTTCTTAAACGTACAGATACACCGTACAAGTAAGCGGTGAGTAATTTTAAGGATATTATTACTGCTACAAAAAACTGATTGTAAGGTATCTATACATGAGGGTAGCATTTAATTAAAATTAATGTTTTGGACGTTCCATATCGTCCGAGCTTAATGCAAAAACAAATAAATATCCGTAGTCGGCAGGATTCGAACCTGCGCGGGGAGACCCCAATGGATTTCTAGTCCATCGCCTTAACCACTCGGCCACGACTACCTGAAAACTAAGTGTCTTCTGGGAGATTTTTGTATGAAAATAACCTCAATACTGACCAGATATGATTCCTTCTGTCGTAATGAGTTTCATTATTTAGCACAGTTCAGAAGAATAGTTACTTCTCGCGACACATTAATTCAGGAAGAACACGGAAGCTCGAGCGCAGTGTAGTGTGCTTGTTGCGTCATAACCGGCTTTAAGAATGAGAACCATTGTAGCTCAGGTTCAGATGTTAGATCTGCTGGGTTCAGATCTACACACACCGAATAGAAGCGCGAAGCTCACTATATGAAGCTTGAGACATCGTGTAGTGTATTTTACTGTATTATATATTTTTTCCACACCTGACAATCCCAAGCTGACCAGCAGGGGTCACTGTCACTCCACTATTGATCACTGCTCTCTGTTCAGATTGTTGTGAACGGCTCCATGTCTGTCTGTCTATAGAGTTGCTGCTTGTAATTTATAGTGCCGTTCATGCTTCTTCTTCAAGACCTGTGTGTAGCAGCTCTGTATGTTGGATTTGATTTTTTTCCTGTATTTTGATCTTGGTATTCGGCATTGTTACACGACTTCTGCGTTGCACATTCTGCCATATACTTGATCACTTCTATATAAACAAGCCGGACCAAAGGCTCAGCCATGCACATGGTTAAGTACTGTAAACACAAAAAAGCTGACTGTATTGCTATGAAAATTAACGCTTTTTAAAGAGCAAGTGACTATATGAGGGTCCCTAGGCTTTTATGATGGGCAATGATGATAACTCTGAAAAAGCATAAAAATCAAGGTCAGTGGAACTAAAGTGTTCATGCTTCACCATGTTGTTTGTTTACAGTAAACAAAAACAATAGACAAAAGTGTTTGATATAAAAAAAGTTTGATATAACTTCTGAAAAAGCTCACATTCTGGAAAAAAATGATATTGCATTACATTTTTAAATAAAAACATAAGTGAACAATTAGGTTTTCCAGTATGTTATCATTATTGAAAAACTTTTATCTGGCAAATCAAAGTTTTGCACCAACATGCAGGAAGCCATTCGGTTTCCATTTGACAAAAAAAAAAACATCCAGACGAATAATAAACGCACACTTTATTATTGCTTTTTTAAAATCTGAAAATATGTTTGAAAACTTTTATTTTTGTTGCATACAAAAAATGTTGTATTCAAGGTGCACAGAAAGTTTTTTTCAGTACTTTTTTTTACTGAAAAAAGCTACTTTTTCCAAACATATATGAAACAAACATGAATATATAGCTATATCTGCAGTGCAGATAAATTAAATTTGATGGTGAGTGTTTGTGGACTGCAGTCTTCAAGTCATTCCACAGATTTTCAGTGGGATTTAAGTCTGGGCTCTGACTAGGCCATGCAAGGACATTCACCTTTTTCTCCTTCAACCACTGAGTGCTCAGTTTTGCTGTGTGCTTTGGGTCTTTGTCGTGTTGAAAGGTAAACCTTCTTCCCATTGACAACTTTCTGGCAGAGGGCAGCAGATTTTCCTCAAGAATTTGACTGTATTTTGCCTTATCTATTTTCCTTCTATCCTGACAAGTGCTCCAGGTCCCTGCTGCAGAGAAACAGCCCATCACAGGATATTAGCACCTCCATGCTTTACTGGAGGAATGCTGTTGGAAAGGCTCTGTGTTGTACCAAATACCTTCCACTTCTCTAATGGACTTCACTTAATAATAGACTTCACTGTGCTTCTAGACATTGATAAAGCCTTTTTTGTATCCATCTCCTGACTTGTGCCTGTACACAACTTTATCCCAGAGATCTTTTGTCAGCGCCTTGCCACTCATAGCTGATTGTTTGCTTCAGTTGCACGACCAAAGATTGAAAAGCTCCAGGAAAGCTCTTTTCATGCTGAAGTAATCAGAATGACCACAGCTGATAGCCAAATGGATTTGTGTGCCATTGAGAAGGTGATTAGCTACACCTGATTGAGTTTACAAGTCATTTTTAGGAGGAGGTGATCCTTTTTCCAACTCAGTGACTCTGTTTTTGTTTTTTGTCTGGCATGTTGGTGTTATATCTTACACTTGGATGTTATAAGTTGCACTGAGTAAATACAGCTGGATAAAACAAAAACGTTGTCCGTCTTCATTTCAGGCTGCAAAGCAACAAAATGTGATTATTTTAAAGGGGGTGATTCTTTTCTATACCCACTGTATAGAGCACATTTGTTTTAACTAAATATTAAATATGGCAGATATTATGTGAAATTTAGCAAGGAAAATCAAATATGATTTTTATTGAACATATAGACTAATTATTTTTACATAATGAGAAAGAAACAAAGATACAGCCTCAAAATAGGCTGCTTCATGTGCACATACAAAGTGCGTCATTTATGAAAAAAACATGTTCTGTAACACCAATTAAAATATATATATATATACTTGTAAATATTTGTATCAGTATGTTACTTAAATCTATGGGTTTCTGTCAATCCTCTATCTCAATGAAGTTAACACGTAGAGGAAAATGGAGAACAGATGACAAGAGCCGCTGCTCCAAAACAACACTAAAACCAAGCAATTTACACGCACAAGCACATTTTCACGTCCTTAAGAGCCTAATGATAGTAACACGCGCTCGGGAAGCGTGTTGACAAACGCGAAAGGCAACAAACACCGCGGTGAAAGCGGCGAGCGTCGAGTCGGAGCGCTGGTCACGTGACTCCCGCACAGGCCTGCCGTCTGTTGTCAGCGGACGGAGAGGGAGGAAAGAACATGGCGGCGACGAGCGATCTGAAGCGGAGCGCCGGGCGTTCGTTTTGAGCTTTCTCGCGTTAACCGAGACCGCGGCTCCGCGGGACTAGTGCATCCTCACCCGCGCGGGATCAACTTTGCAGTGGTGCCCGAAATTCCGGGTTTGGTGCGTGTAAAGTGCAGGCAAAACGCGAAACTGAGGAGAATAGATTTGTATCCATAATGAGGGGGAGACGAGGCAGGCCGCCCAAAGCGCAGCTAATGCAGGAGCCCACAACGGGGCCGGTGCGCGGTCTGAGACCCCGCCGGGGCTTGAGGGCGAAGCCGAAAGGGACCTGCGATGAGGATTATGTCACCCCTAAACGGGGGACCCATCATCATTCAACACGAGGCCGGAGGAAAGCGCGATCCGCGGCATCGAGGGCCAGAGGAAGAGGCAGGGGAACGGCCAGAGGCAGGGGGCGGCGGAACGCCGCGAGCGGGGTGGTTTACGACGACCACGAGAGCGACGATGAGGATGAAGATGCGGTCAGTTTGAGATCGGACGAGGAAGAATACATAGAGGAGCGTCTGACGGACGAAGAGGAGGAGGAAGAAGAGGAGGAGGAGGAGGCCAACGACGAGACCGACTACCTGGAGGAACTGGACGATTTGGTAGAAGACGATGCCAGTTACTGCACGGAGAGCAGCCACGGCAGCAACGCAGGTACGGGCGCGTCAGCGACCTCACGAATGACTGATCCGCGAGGCACGACGAGCGCAGAGTCCAGGCCAAACGATCGCTCTTTTGTTGAGCAAAACACTCAAAATGGATCCTGGTGCTTTTCTGTGCTGGCAAAGGCCGCGGCGGGTTTAACTTAGCAGTTAGCTTGAGCGCGGCGGTCGTTTATTGTGGTGAAATTGCATTCGCGGGACGTTACCAGCATAAAAAGAGGTTTATAATTAAATACTTAACTTAAAATTCGCATCTTCCCATTGTATGAAAATAAAGCCGTTTTTAATATATCAACAAAAAGATCGCTTTACCTTTCAATTATGTATGTGCTAACGTTAGCCTGTTAGCGTATTAATTCCAGACACATTCTGGATTGTGTTCTAAATATCACTAAATCATTCCTGCTTTTTTGTATGATTACACATTAAGGTTAGACTGTAAAGGGAACGCTTTTTAGTCTCACACATGAGCACAGCAAAAGTTAGTTAGCCCGTCATCTTGCTAATTGATTTCGAGCTGATAAGATAATTTGTTGACAAAATGATCAGCATATTCCATAGACTTTAATTAAAGTACCTGCAAATCTTATATTCTAGTGTTTTACTTACTATCCATCCACCCTCATTTGCATGAGCGTGTGGTAGTCTGACTGGTGTTTAGCAGCACGCAGCCAAAGCTGGAGTTCGGCTAATGACAGCAGCATGCGGCCGATTGTTTTGAAATCCAGCGCCAGCGCCGTCGCACCTGACGCGGGAAGGACGCTTCATTTCGACCCGCCACTGTGTCATGCCCGCACGTGACGTCATAGTGCCACTTATGATGTAGCTTTTAGTGCTGTCATGATTAATTACCCGACCTATGGGAGATAGTTAGGACTAAAATGTTTTTTTGAGTGACTATTATACTGTTTTCCAATTTAATATATTTTAAAATGTAATTTATTCCTTTGATGGCAAAGCTGGATTTTCAGCATCATTTTCACTCCAGTCTTCAGTGTCACAGGAAAGCAAAACATTAAGCAGTACAACTGTTTTCAACATTGATAATGACAAGCAATTTTTTTTTCTTGAGCACCAATTCGGAATGTTTTTTGAGGAAGCTGACACTTTTTTCAGGATTCTTTGATAGCTTTCAAAAGTTTCAGCATTTGTTTGAAATAGAAATATTTTGCAGCGTTCTTAATTTCTTAGTGTCGCTTGTGATCAATTGAATGCGACCTTGCTCAATAAAAGTAAATAAATAATTTCTTTCCAAAAAACAAAACAAAAGCTGCCCCTTAAACTTTTAAACAGTGAGTGGGAGTGAGCATGCAATAATTTTTTTCAGTGATTAAAATATACATTTACATTTTCTTACCATTTGCAGATTCAAGTGTGTTGTTGCTTTCATTGTTTTATTAAAAAAAAATGACATGCTAATATCCTGTACATGTTCATTAGATACCAGATTAATTTGATTCTATTTTAAACTGTTCTATGCAGACGAATGTAATGTAACAATCTTCTTTTTCCTTTGGGAATCACAAATATTAGCTGTTGTTTTAATACGGCATACACGACCACTGAACGTTATGTTTCTTGTTGTCTTATTTCTTAATGGCTACGTTTTTAAGCAGATGCCTGATCAATCATGTCTGACTAACTGAAGGACTTATTTGTGGATGCATGGGTTGTCTGAATCAACAAGGTTTTTTTTCTGAAACTGGACGTTTTATGCATGTATTATTTTATTCAATGTTAAATCTGTAATCAAATCTTATAAACGGACACACCATAACAACATTAGAGTCATTAGTATAATTGCAAAATGCATTGCATTATAAAATTGCATTGAGACTTTAATTTTCCTTGAAAATTTAATGATGACTTTCTTCTGGGCAATCGAAACTGATTCTGATTCTTTCTGTTTTAGTAGGTCGTAAAAGACCAAGACCCAGGCGACCACCTTCTCCTATTCTGGAGCAGAAGGAGATTCCTACTCTGCAGCTGCCCAGTTCCTCCGAGGACATTCTCATTCCCAACGAGCAGCTACTCAACGCTTCGGCTATTTACGAGGTCCTTCGCAGTTTCTGCACTGTCCTGCGTCTCTCTCCGTTCCGTTTCGAGGACTTCTGCGCCGCTCTGGTCGGACAGGAGCAGTGCACGCTGATAGCGGAGACGCACATCTGCCTGCTCAAGGCCATCTTAAGGGAGGAGGACACCTCCAACACCACTTTTGGACCAGCGGACCTCAAGGACAGCGTCAACTCCACACTCTACTTCATCGACGGCATGACTTGGCCAGAAGTGGTGCGTGCGTATTGCGAAAGCGACCCCGAGTATCACCACGTGCTCCCTGACCTGGAGGGTGAAGACTATCCGTTCAGCCCGCTGGAGAGCAAAGTCAAGGTCTTGCAGTTCCTGGTGGACCAGTTTCTCACCACCAACCTGGCCCGCGAGGAGCTCATGTCCGAGGGCGTCATCCAGTACGACGACCACTGCCGGGTTTGCCACCGGCTCGGCGACCTGCTGTGCTGTGAGACCTGCTCGGCCGTGTATCACCTGGAGTGCGTGAAGCCTCCTCTGGAGGAGGTGCCCGAGGACGAGTGGCAGTGTGAGATCTGTGTGGCACACAATGTGCCCGGCGTGACAGACTGTCTGACCGAGTTCCAGAAGAGCCGGCCGTACATCCGGCAGGAGCCCATTGGTTACGACCGACATCAAAGAAAATACTGGTTTCTCAACAGGAGGGTTATTGTGTGAGTATTTGCATTATATGAATGTAAGCTACTAGAGATATGGTATAAATGAAAGAAAAAAAGGTGTCACATTCGCCATTTCTAAAGCCAATAACCTTCTTACAGTGAAAATAATTTGCATAGCAGCTTTACAGGAGATCATAATGATAATGTTTGTAATATCTTTATATAATATCATGCTTTATAGTCTCATCTGGCAGATTAGAGATGGACGATAATATAGTTTACATTTTGCAGTAATATAAATAATCAAGCAGTTGAGATTAGCTGTATAGTGTATATCGCACTATGCGACTATACTGGATGAATGTGGAAAAACATATTTTTATATATAAATAGCTAGGTGATAATATTGCTTACATTTTGTGATCGTACAAGTAATCAAAGCAGTTGAGATATGCTATATTAAATATATCGCTCTACACAAGTATACTGTATGAATGTGGATAAAGTTGGAGATACTTGTACATCCAACTTTATATAAAGAGCTGGGTGATATTATTGTTACATTTTGTGATGAAATAAATAAAACCAGGCAGTTGAGATTTGCTATACAGTGTATATTACGGATACGTGAGTGTACTGTATTCATAAGAAAAAAAGTTGGCTATAATATTCCTAAATGGTCACTTTTAAGCAGTATCAATATAGATATGTAATATATGAGCACATAACATGATATTTTCTAAAGGAATGGTCCTTTATTCACACATTGATATCGATGTGAAAATTATTTTTAATAAAATGTATAATGATTTTTATTGCAATTATTGAAAACTATTTACAGATATTTATAAATAATTATATTTATAAATACAAAAAATATTTGATTAAATTATTTTTCAACTTCATTTAAGTTACTAACAGCATTTTATAGTGACGCACCAAAATTATATATTTTAGCGAAACACCGAAACCCAAATTAGAGTTTTATTCAGCTTCTGTAAATAACTTTAGGTAATTGAACTCCCAGTACTGTTCAGGGTATCGTGTTCACAGGTGATAATCCAGTTGTAGAAAAGTTTTTCAGCAACAAGCTTCCGTTTGAAATTTTACAAGCAAATTTGACATATTGCTACTCCAGCATAATGTTTGGTCACGGTGAACCGCGTTCACGCTGCTGACATGTTTTCCTGTTGTAGCTTAGCCACATTGCGTGCATGAATTAGACGCTAGCTGTTTCCATCACCCTGTTTTTACGACCATTTTGAAGTATCGCATCAGAAACTAGTGATGGAAACACCACATTTTTAAAAGAAAAAAAAATCCCTTAATTTGTTTTTACGCTCGCTTGAGGCGTTTTTTGACTTGTGTGAAAAAGATTTGATGCAAATAATGGGAGATGGAAATGCATTTGCAGAATAAATTCTGACATATCGAACATTTAACCCTCACGCCCAATCTTAACTAGTTACAGTCCTGTCTCCATTTTTTATGTTGGTTACTAGGCTACCAATACCACCGTCATCCACTCGAACAACTTGATGGAAACGCACCTAATTCGCATTTGCTTTTTTAAATGTATTTACTTTTTGGTGTACTTTGAAAAGATTCGCTTCAAGTTTGGATGGAAACCCAGCTACTGACATGGCTTAAAGGGATACTCCACCCCAAAATGAAAATTTTGTAATTAATCACTTACCCCCATGTTGTTCCAAACCCGTAAAAGCTTTGTTTGTCTTCAGAACACAATTTAAGATATTTTGGATGAAAACCGGGAGGCTTGTGACTGTCCGATTGACTGCCAAGTAAATAACACTGTCAAGTTCCAGAAAAGTATGAAAGACATCGTCAGAATAGTCCATCTGCCATCAGTGGTTCAACCGTAAGGTTATGAAGCGACGAGAATACATTTTGTATGCGAAGAAAACAAAAATAACGACTTTATTCAACAATTCGTCTCCTCTGTGTCTCTCCGCATCACTGTAGCGCCATTTTGGAGAATATCCGCTGAACGCAAGCAGCGTACGCTATTCTGTGTCAGCCGCGCTGCACGGATGCGCTGTTTTCGTTCAAATCAACCCGTAAATACACGTAGAAAATGTATCCTTGTGTCGCTGCTGACACAAGACGAACGAAGCTTTTACGGGTTTGAAACGACATGGGGGTAAGTGATTAATGCCAAAATGTTCATTTTGGGGTGGAGTATCCCTTTAAAACGCATCATTGGAAAAGCAGTTTCAGTCAATGATTTGGTCGTCCGAAACTATTTCAGGCAAAACCAAAAAAGAAAGTTTTTTTGTTTTGTTTTGTTTTGCTATTTGTGGTTGTCAAAATTTGAATGCATCGCTTACTTTTCAAGCAAGGTTTTCTAAACATAAAAATATGGTTTAAAGTCCATAAAGGGTCTGTATTGAATGTACATAATCTGTGCGTTTTGATCTGTTTCAGAGAGGAAGATGAAAATAAGCAGATCTGGTACTACAGCACTAAAGTCCAGCTGGCTGAGTTGTTGGAGATTCTGGATAAAGACTACTGGGAGAATGACCTCTGCTCTGTGCTGGAGGAGATGAGAGAGGAGATTCACTCTCACATGGACATTACTGAGGAGCTCACTAACAAGGCCCGGGGGAATAACAAGGCATACCTCACCGTTGCCAACGGTAAGAAAATACACAAATCATATAGCTCATTTTTTTATTGCCATCTTGGAAATGCACATTCCAAGATGGTAATAAAAAAAGTTGAATACAACATTTATTTTTGTAGCATTTACTCACAATAAAATGCATTAAAGTTTTTTTTTAATTTGTCACAATTTTTTCTAATACTGTTTGCATGTATGAAATCAGTTTTTTTATTTCTATTTATTTATTTATTTTTTAATAAAAAAAAATACATGCTGATATCCTGTACTTGTTTATTATATGCAGGTTTCATCGGATTCCATTTTAAACTGTTGTGTGAAGGCAGATGTAATAATCTTCCTTTTTATTTTAATATGATAAGTGACGACCAATGAACGTTATGTTCCGCATTGTCTCATTTCGGAGTTTTTAAGTTTTCAAGCAGATGATCATTCCTAATCTCTGACTAACTGAAGAACTTATTTATGGACACGCAGGTTGTCCGAATCAACAATA